GTAATCAAATAGTTTTCATTCTTTGATTTACCAACTGGTGAGGTTCGATCTATTGACGGCCAATAACTCGATATTTTGGGAGTGAAATTATTTGATTATCGGTATTTATGAGATAAACAACATAGAATTTGTAGGATATGTCCCATTGATATGTTTCGGTACTTGGATATTAAAGACACTGGCCAGTGCATGTAATCTATTAGAGAAACTATCATAGTCAAGGGAATAAATAATTGATTGAGTTTCAGAAAACTTGTCAATCAATTATAGACATTCTACAAAGGGGCGATGCATATTCATGTTATAAAGGTCATTAATCTTGGAGTTCACGTTCGGGCTTTTAGTGGAGTAGCGCCGAATTAGATAATCTTTCAAAGATTATCAGGAGCCTTGATGAGTGACAAATGGTAGATCCCCAAGCTAGCTTGAGACAAGGGACGGGTTGTATAATCAGATGATGATGGCTTATGGGCTACATAGTCTTGAGTTTATGAACTCAAGTTTGTGTCCAAAAGAGCAAGTGGGAGATTGTTGGGTTTAATATGCTCTTTTCACTTAAGCCCAATAGCTTTAGTGAGAGTGAGCCCAAAAGACTAATTTCAACCCATGAAGCTTAGGGTTAGTCTTGGATTGGGCAGAGTATATAAACTTTTTTTTCTCTCTAGTGCCTCCAAGGGTTACAGACATCAGAAACACAAAGAGGCAGACGTTCATCATCTGTAAGATCAACCGTAGAGCGGAATTGCGACCGTTCGTGGTGCGTTGCTGCAGATCGTGAGGCTTGAGGAGGAGAACAAAACGTGAGAAATTGTCACGCTCGCTGCTTCATCTCAGGTAATTAAAGCGGTGTTCTTCATTCCTCATCACATCGGTACGATGCGCTTCCGCGTTTCTGATGATATACCTTCAATTTCATGCCATTTTTACTCCATTAACTCTACTAACAATCAAATTCACCTAATTTACTTAAGGAAAAACAAATCTCCTATTACAAGAGACATATTGTCTCATACTGCAAAAACAAAGCACGTGATGCCTACCATTTAAAAAAAAAAAAAAGAGGAGGCAGTGTTTTCGATCTAAGACAACATATCTCTTGTAATAGGAGACTTGTATTTCCCATTTACTTAAGATACAAATTAATGAGCTTATAAGAAATTGCATAAAGTAATGTCTATCTCAAGATCATCATCAATTATGGTAATTTCCCCCGATTTCAATTCATATATAAAATTTTCAATTATACACAAAAACCTAAAAGTAATCTATAAGTGATTTAAATAAAGGATAAATTAATCAATATAAAAAGAGACAAGGAATTTTAAATCAAATCAATTTATGACAAAATGTAATTGGATTTCGTTACCTCTAACACAAAGGAGCTTAAGGATCCACAATAAAAAAAAATAAGGGTTAAAGAAAAGGTCCATTAATGACACTTAGGAAGAAGAATTTTTTTTATTAGAAGAATTGAAAAAAAAAATTGATCTTGATGACTACGCACTTGGATCTTCTCTCCGTGCCTTGGATAGTCGTCTTGCAACCAAGAATCCTTTTTTTCTTCTCAATTAATCAAAAACCTAGAAGTTCTCTTATTTTTCAATCTTCTAGCCCTTTTAAGTAAAACTCCAAAAAAATTAATATTGTGGCTTGTTATTTGTAACATCCTGAGCGCTGACGAGGGCGGGAAGTGATCGCCGATGCAAAGAGACATGGATAAGGAGCGACTCATAACAGGCTTCCAGCGGGGGGTTGCATGCATGAATAAATCGAATAGACACTCGAAAGAGAGGGATTCCAAAGACTGTGCAGGTATAAGACTGCACAGTTTGGGATAGCTTATAAGAATTAATTGGTACTACCGATATTAACAGGATGCATCTACTTTTCGGTAGCCCGGAATAGAAGAACTCCATAGTTAAGCGTGCTTGACTTGGAGCAATTCTAAGATGGGTGACCTCCTAGGAAGTTTTCCTGAGAAGTGTGCGAGTGAGGAAAAAGCACACTAAAAAGTCTCGTGTTAGTATGTGGGTTAGTCATTGATTCTTGAAGCGGTCGGGTGTTACAAGTGGTATCAGAGCAGGCCTCTCTTCCAGTACGGTGTGGTTAGAGGACAAATCAGGCGAAAGCTGGTGGGCATGTAACATCCCGGACGCTAATAAGGGCGGAGAGTGATCGCCGGTACGAAAGGGCATGGACAATGAGCGACTCTTGGCAGGCTTCTAGCGACAGGGGTACATGAATGAATCGAATTAACACTCGAAAGACAGGGATTACAGAGACTGTGCTGGTATGGGACGGTACAGTTGGAAATAGCTTATAAGAATTAATTGGTACTACCTATACAAACAAGATGCATCTACTTTTCGATAGCCCGGAACGGAAGAACTCCATAGTTAAGCGTGCTTGACTTGGAGCAATTCTAGGATAGTGACCTCCTGGAAAGTTTTCTCGAGAAGTGTGCGAGTGAGGATAAAGCACGCTGAAAAGTCTCGTGTTAGTGTGTGGGGACAGTCGTTGATCCTTGCAAGTTGTCAGGCGTTACAAGTGGTATCAAAACAAGGCCTCTGTTCCAGTACGGAGTGGTTCGAGGACGAACCAGGGGAAGTTGGTGGGCATGTAACATCCCGAGCGTTGACGAGGGCGGGGAGTGATCGCCGCTGCAAAGAGACACAGACAATGAGCGGCTCCTGGCACGCTTTCAGCGGGGGCTTACATGCATGAATGAATCAAATAGACACCCGAAAGAAAGTGATTCCAAAGACTGTGCAGGTATAAGACTGCACAGTTTGGGATAGCTTATAAGAATTATTTGGTACTACTAATACTAACAAGATGCATCTACTTTTCGGTAGCCCAAAACGGAAGAACTCCATAGTTAAGCGTGCTTGACTTGGAGCGATTCTAGAATGGGTGACCTCCTGAGAAGTTTTCCTAGGAAGTGTGCGAGTGAGGAAGAAACATACTGAAAAGTCTCGTGTTAGTATGTGGGGATAATCATTGATTCTTGAAGCGGTCGAGCGTTACATTGATTGTTGTTGATGGCTTAATTATCTCCAGTCTCCACCATCACAAAGAGGTATAGAGAGTTGACATTGCCTTTATTGTGAGGGGATATATATACACACACGATCATTCATTTTAAGTTCATACACGTCTTTCTGAATATTTTTCTAATTTTATGGTCATAAAGATAGTGATTACCTCCTTAAAAAATAATAGAAATCTCCTAGTTGTGAACCTCATTTTTATTTTTTAATCGAACAAATAGTTATAAGTTATAAAGAAGAATATCTATTTTAAGTTCACATCATGAGACTTCAGATGTGTATTGATGAACTAGTCTTCTATAAAGCCAAAAGCTCACTCGATCTATATGTGGGTTTTTAGACTTGTTAAATCGGCGCCTTTACAACCAAATGTATTGAACTTGCCTACTAAGGTTCATTAAGGGATCACATCTCTACTTTTTGATAGTAAGTATATCGATCTCACATTTGAGTATCGTTCATCCCCTGCAAACAGTTAGGTTAGACTCATGCTCTCTTATCATTAGACATCAACAAATCATTTTCTTCATAATCTATTACTCTATCAAAATATAGAGTTATTGTGACCATTCACATCCTCTCTCTCAATCTCACCGGAGATAGCACTTACAATGTCTTTCTGGAATCTTTGGTCCATATCTATGCTACTTTGAGTACTCACACAATGATATACATAACTCATTACGGGATACAAATCTAACTCCAACACTCCAAGAGCTCAAGACTTAAATATTTTTTTAATCTCCATATGTGTAACAAATTTTTATTTTCGTCTTTCTTTTTTAAATTTATAAACGTGTCTCACATGGATTTTTCCTCGCTTCATCGTTGTTTAAGAAAGTCATTACCTATTTATTTCTTCATCATCAACAAACCAGTTACAAGCTTATTCCTAAACGCAAATTTATATTCAACTCAGAAACTCCACTTCTTAGTACAATTGTTTTCAACCTAAAAATCTTACCTAAATCGAACACCCACTTGACACTCGTCAAATGTCACACCAAGGATAGCTTTTCTTACTACAATTTAATTTCTGCAAACCACCATGGGAGGGAGAAATTTTTTTAAGGGAAGATGGTGTTGTAATGGATATTCTTCTTTATAACTTATAACTATTTGTTCGATTAAAAAAATAAAAATGAGGTTCAAAACTATGAGATTTCTATTATTTTTTATGGAGATAATCACTATGAGGAAGGATATTGTGACAATCAAGTTGTGTTACTATCAAGTGACTACTAATTAATCTCACCGTTAAATCGATTATGTTGATCCAACGGTTATATTTATTTCCATCTTTGTATGATTGTGATTTCTCATATTTAAAGTAAAAGCATTAAATATGGGAAATCATAACTATACAAAGGTGGAAATAAATATAAAATATTAAATTTGGGAAACCATGACCATACAAAGATGTAAATAAATATAACCGTTGGATCAACATAATCGATCTAACGGTGAGATTAATTAGTAGTCATTTGGTAGTAACACAACTTGGTTATCACAATATCCTTCCTGACCATAAAATTAGGAAAATATTCAGAAAGGGTAAAAGGGTAAGATGCTCAGAAAGCTAAACCACATTAACTTTCAAGGTAAGATGTTCGATGTTACGGCCCATAATTCGGAAGCAGATACAATTTACGGGCTTAAAGGGTAAAAGGTTACTAGACAGTCCACTTATACGACTATGTAATGGACTAGATATAGGAAGGGGCCCAAGGATTTTAACAGAGTCTTTAATCCACAATATAGCACTTTTATTTCAAAAATGCAATTACTGAGATACAATATACGCTGGGGGAAGTACGAAAAGGAAAATAGAAAATTGAACAGCTTAAAGCCTTGCACAGTGAGCTCATTAGCAATATGGTTGTTCAATAGGCACGTTCGTGATGACATAATTGGAGCTTGTTTTATTTTATCAAAACCCAATGCAAAGTCCTAAACGTTTTTTATCCTAACGACATCAATGTAAGATTTCCCTTGTAGCTCGCGTGAAAAGTATCCTTTGTAGTAATCAGCTACACCAATTCTTTTGAACAATGCAGGTCTTTCAGGAGTAATAAGGCTTGCGGTTGGACCTATGACTCTGTTCATTTGAGGCCTGTGAAATGTGGCAATGGAAATCCTCTCCTTGTCTGAGTTGATAGTTGCTCGATGCTCGATGCTCCGGTAAATCCCATTTGTAAGAATCTGGCAAAACATTTAGGAAAGGTACCAAAAATTCTTGAGAGTCAAAATGTTTAGAATTTAGAGTGTGTATTCTAATTTTTATTCTTCCAGTGTAGTAAAAATATTTCAATGTGTGAAGTGATAAAAGGAGTTGTGAATGATTTTCTGCCAATTACCTCCAAAATATCTCCAACATTGATGATAAAAGCATTAGAGAGGGGTTTAATGGGAATCCACATTCCATCTTTCCTTATTTGGAGACCTTCAATTTCATTGGCTTGCAAGAGGATGGTAAGAGCACCAGCATCAGAATGAGGATTGAGGCCAATGACATGTTCTGGTTGAGGACATGGAGGGTAGTAATTCATCCTCATTGACTGACTTACATCTTCAAATAACTCTAGCAATTCATTAGGTTCAATCTTAAGAGCTTTTCCCATAAGTTCAATGATTGAGATGCAAAGTTTTTCCAGTTCTAAACAATAGCTCTCTATATCATTTCTGCAATGAAACAAAGTTTGTTTGAGTTACCTACATAATCAATCAATGATGTTATAGTTAAGGTGGTTGCATGAAACATGAGCAGAGAAGTACTAATAAAAAAAAAAAACATGAAAAGATGGGAGACAAACCTGAATGGTTGGGGAATATTAGCAAATAAGTGGGGAGTCCTTGTGTATGATGGAAGAGTGGTCATGTAGAATAGATCTGCCCATTCTAGCTTTTGTTCCTCGGATACAACAAAATTCTGACCAAACCCCTCCAAATCTCCTGGTTTTTGCCATATTTTCTTCTTCTCTTCCTTTGTAAGACCGAAGAACTTTTGAACACCGATCCTCACATTTACAACTAATGAAGGGTCGACCCCATGATTTATCAGCTGTAATTAGTTTCAGTGTTAAATTCTAACAAAGCAAATAAAATGACTAATGCTTTATTTATTTTAGAAATTATATCATTATTTGAATGTCATATATATTAATGGGGAAAAATGTTTCTCCTATAATCCAGAAATAATGTCGTTTTGGAATTTTAGAAGATAATTTTATCTCTCATATATAAAAGAAGAAACGTTAATCCCATATTAATATGGGACATAAGTCAAAAAAAAAAAAAAAAAGCGTGTGACATTACAACTTTAAAAGATAAATGTGTGTTCTATAACAAAGACAATTTAATAAAATTCTTTCACTTCAAGACATAGATTATCGTGCTATATATCTTTTTTTTCAAACATATTCTAATTAACTCTTTGAAACAAGTAGGTTCTCTCACTATATTCATAAGTTTTAACTCTTTGAGTTGGCTACGAGACTAATCTAGAATGCGAGACATGTGAGAGATAATGATTTTAAGTCCCTTCCAAAAGTAACATATAGAGATCAAACTGAAATCCTTTTCTTTTTTACTGCTCAGTTCACACGAATCAACTGAGCTGCCACAATTCCTTTCCACTTCACCCCTTCGTGTCTTCAATTGCAATGTGTATGCGTTGGAGTTTTTTTTTTTTTTTCCATAATGTACATGTGTGAGTTGTTTACTAACTGAAAATTAAAGGATTTTCTAAATAAACCATAGGTTTAAAAAAATTAGTTGAGAGGTAAATTAAATTAAATTAAATTATTATTAATAGATAATCTTTCATTAATAAGAAAAGAAAAAGTAAAGAAAGAATATATATATCTGTGTACCACCAAAACAAATCATTTCTTGAAAACATGTGAACTCTTGACTGTGATCTTGAAAAATATAATAAAGAAGGAGAATAATCCAAACCTGAAAGAAACCCCATTCTTTGCATGCATGGTCTAGCTTCTCTAGCTCAGTTCCATCTTCAAACAGCAATTTGTTCAGATCGATGACTGGGACTTGTGGTAAAGGGATTGTGTTAGAAACAATAGGAGGGTCTTGGTTTGGTCGAACATATCGTTCTGGAACTTTCGTCAATGTTTGCTTAGCTAGTTCCTGGACAGAAGGCACCACTATAGAGGTTCCAAGCTTGCCATTTTGAGAATCCATAGCTGCAAATGTGTGCAACCAACTTGATGTTTTTTTCTCTATTCTTGCTCGGGTTTATATTATTTGAGTGAAATTGTAATAAATAATTGGCAATTCAAATTCAAACTTGTTAGATACACGCAAGTTTCAATTTTCAAAATCTTCAGCAAGTGAACCAAATAGGCTAATGAATTTATTTAATATGAATACCTAAAAGTTTAAGTAATTAAGTTTTATTATAATATTATTAGTCTAGATATGACAAAGTAATAAGCACGGAATTTATAAAGAAGGCCACTTGTAACCTTTAGGTAGTGTTTAGTTCAAGAGATATTTTTATTTACTAGAAAAATGTAATTACAAGAAAAAATGTAGGAATGTAATTTTGGTAGAAAAGTTTAAAAAAAGTTGTTTGGTATCACAAAATATTACTAGAAATATTGGGTTAAAAATCCTATTGTGTGTTTGGTTTAAAATAAGATTTAGATGGGGATGTTCCAACTTGTCACCATTTTCTTCCCCAAAAAAAATTTATCTGGTTTATGAACAAAAATACCACATTCTTAGATGGATTCATCAACAGTATATTATCTCATTTTTTACATGCAATCCAATTTAGCTAGGCAACCTAGTTTGATAGATAAAATTGAAGATTTCCTTCTACCAAACATGGAGAAATCACAATGCCATATACACTTCCCTAGGATAATTTTGAAAACTCTCCAACCAAACACTACCTTAGACATGGCCCGATAAATCTCTCTAAAGATGAATGAAAGGGACTAAAAACTAAGGCTTTGTTTGGAAGTTGATTTTTGTAGGGAAAGGAAAGGAAGGGGAGGATTTTATTAATCTCTTCCCTTGTTTGTGAGTTTAAAAAAATGGGGGAAGGGAATTGAGAATTTTTGCAAAATTCTCCAAAATCCTTTTCACCCTTAAAATTAAAGTTCCCCCAATTTGGAGGATTTAAAGGGGGATATTGAAAATTACTTATCTAACCTTAGCATTAATATGTGAAAAGTACATAAATATGAATCATTTTTAAATGTGACATTATTAGAAAAGTCTCAAATACCGACAGAATTTATCGACGAAAAATATTTTGTCAAAAATATGATATTTTCTAGTAGTGTGAAAAATACATAAATAATTTTGTTTAAAAATTTTAAATTTATTTATTTGTAAAATATAATAATTAAATTAATTTTTAAAAAAGGATAAAATTGTAAAAATATCTCATTGACCCTCAAATTTCTCCCTTACCATTTTTTTAACTCCCAAACAAGGAAAGAGAATACCCTTCAATTACCTTTCCTTCCTTCCCCTCCTCTCCCCTTAGATCTCCTTCCTTCCTCTCATAAGGAGGGGAAGGAAAGAAAATGGAGAGTTTTAGAAAGTTCTCCCTTGTTTGTGAGTTTAAAAAAATGAGGGGAAGGAATTGGAGATTTTTACTAAATCTTCTAAAACCCTCCCTCTTCTTAAAATTAAAGTTCCCCCAATTTGGGGGATTTGAAGGGGAAAATATTAAAAAATTACTTATCTACCCTTAGCATTAAAATGTGAAAATTACATAAATGTGAATCATTTTTAAATGTGACATTATTAGAAAATTCTCAAATGCCGACAAAATTTATCGACGAAAAATATTTCGTCAAAAATAGTGTTAAATTTTTTGATGAAAATCATATACGTCAAAAAATTCTGTCAAAACTAAAGACGAAATTAGAGACGAAACAAGATTTTTCCATAATAAGTGACATAAATTTCTTACGAAAAAAAATTCAGTCAAAATTATTGATAGAATCTAAATTCCATCAAAACTTTCAATGAAAATATTTTCGTCCAAAATTTTGACGAAACACATTTCTATCGAAAAGATTCGACAAAAAACAATTACGTCAAAAATTTTTACGGAAATCATTTCCATCAAAATTTTCCGCAAAAATTTTCGAAGATAATTATTTCCTTCAAAATTTGTGACTAAAAATATTTCTGTAAAAATTTTGACGGAAATTTTTTTTGTCAAAATTCTTTATGGAATCTAAATTTCGTCAAATTATTTCCCTCAAAATATTTCACAAAAAAATATTTATCAAATATTTTGATGAAAAATATTTCTATCAAAAAAATTTGACGGAAAAATATTTCATCAAAATTCTTTACAGAATTTAATTTTTGTCGAGAGTTTTCGACAGAAACATTTACGTTAAACTTTTTGACAAAATAGAAAAAATTTGATGGAAAATATTTCCGTCAAATTTTTTGATAAAACACATTTCCATCAAAATCTTCAACAGAACACATTTCAGTCAAAAAATATTTGACAAAAAATATTTCTGTAAAATAATTTGACGGAAAAAATATTCTGTCAAAATTCTTTACAGAATCTAAATTTTGTCGAAAGTTTCGAATGAAACATTTCTCTCAAAAATTATAACAAAACAATTTTCGTTGAAATTTTTGTCAGAACACATTTCCATCGAAATTTTGAACGGAAAACATTCCGTCAAAATTTTTGACGGAATTCTTTTTTCGTTTAAAACATTTGATGGAGGAAATCATTTTCGTTAAAACTTTTGACGAAAACTAAATTTCATCGAAAATTTTGATACAAAATTTATTTTTGTGAAAATATTTATCTGAGAAAATATTTCGTAGCTTTTCGACGAAATGTATTCTAACGAAAAAATAATTTTGTGATGAAATTTTCATCGCTTGCAACGTAAAAATTTCGTCAAAAATATGATCTTTTTTAGTATTATGAAAAGTACATAAATAATTTTGTTAGAGATTTAAATTTAATTTAATTTGTAAAATATAATAATTATATTTATTTTAAAAATGGGATAAAATGGTAAAAAAATCTCATTAACTCTCTATTTTTCTCCTTTACCATTTTTTTAACTCCCGTACAATAGAAAAAAATACCCTTCAACTTTCTTCCCTTCATTTCCTTCCCCTCCAAGCTCCCAAATAAAGTAGAGAGCCTTATTTATAACTCTTAATTCTTCTTCTAATCACTAATGGAAAAACAATTATAATACATACACACACAAAATTTTGGATTATAAAAAGTCAAAATCTCAACTTTTAAAAAATATTTCTAATATATATATGTTTAATTTTTTTTAATGGCAATGGGTGTTTTGAAAGCAAAGACATAATACTTGTAGGAAATTGATAATCACATTAGACACAAAATGCAAACCGAAATAGGAAAAGAGAAAGGGAAAAGAAAATTGACACAACGGTTTACCTTGATTCTTCCAGTATAGATTATGTCATGTTTGTCTATACTATATTCTTCTCATTTACACTCGTTACAAGTCAGTCAGTTTACAAAGAAATATAAATAAGTTTTAGAAAATCCCTAAAATAGCAGTTATTCATGAGTTCAAACTCAAACTACTTAGAAAAAGAAAATACAACGAGTCATCAATGAGTCATTAATGAGTCAGGGGCCCACAACAGTACCAAATCTCTACAACAATGAGTCATCAATGAGCGGGATCCCAATTGGCTTTCTGTTGATCCCACCAACAAGGATCTCCATCTGAATACGTAATATGAGTCATATCTATAGGTGTGTAAATGAGCGGGGCTAAGTTGAGCATTAGCTTAAATAAGTCAAGTTTTTGTAAAAGGTTCGCTTTTTCTACAGTTACTGCAGAAAACTTATCTGCAGTAAGCCTAATACGATGTCGTTTTGGGACAAAAATCATGATGTTTTTTGTAATTTTAATTTATTTCAGGATTATTATAATTTTTATAATTATAATTATTTAATTTTTCAATCCTAAAATTACGTTGTTTTGGAAATAGATGCAGATAACTTATCTACAGTAACTGCAAAAATATTATTCTGTTTTGTAAAATATTTTAGGCCTAACCTAGTCTGTTAGCCTATGTAGACTCAAATTATAAGTCTAGTTTAACCTATATTTAAAAAATAAAAATCTTACCGTTAGTCTTTTTAAGTTTATTAGGCAAAATATATACTCATTGGAAGGTTATCAACTTCCTTTTAATGCTGTGGAGAATGGTTCAAACTTACTTTTGAAGTGACGAGTGAAATCTCTACCATGCGTTATATCCAAAATCATATTATAATATCTTCTAGACTTTGACATCAATTCATAAATAATCTAATTAATAATCCTTTGTTATAATCTCTTTCTTTTTCTTAAGAAATTGTATGTATGAGTTATGAATATGGGTGTAAATAGGTTAAGCTAAATTAGACTTTGACTTAAATAGGTTAAGTCTGTGTAAAATACATTGGGTCTGGCCTAGTCTGTTAGCGTATGTAGGTTTCAATTTACAAGTCTGGTCTGACCTATATTTAAAAAATAAAAGTCTTAGCCTAGACCTGTTAGTCTGTTTAAGCCTATTAAACATTCAACAATTAAAAGAATAACTAAAATAATATTATTTTATTATTCAAATTTATTAAAATAATAATTTTATTTAAAATAAATAATATTATATAGGCCGGTCTGAAGACTTATAGGCTCAATATGTACAAAAAAACTTATGGCCTATTTTTTAAATAGGTTTTTTTTAAAATCTAGGTCTGTTCTATTTCACTGTTTGTAATAGACTATGTCTGACCTAATATAGACTAGGTCGTAAGTCCCTGTAAGCCGGACTAACTCATTTATGAACGCCGGTCGTGTATATTAGTCGCACACGATCATTGTACTTATAAGTTATAATGAACGGTAAACATAATTTGTTAAACTGGGAAAGTGAATATAACGCTGCTTGGTGAATTAACTTTGGATAAAATCCCTAATTCAAAGTATTTTTAGATAAAATTTAAACATTGATCCTTATAGTTTTTATTTATTTTTAAATATTTCAAATTGAACCACACATTTATAAATATTTTCTAAGCAATTCCTTCCGTCACTAGACGATTTACATACCAAAAAAAACACTTAGTCGACAAAAATACATTTAATGGGTTTAATTTGTCAACTAATAATATTTCAAACATAAGTTTACAGTAAGGATAATTTTAAAAACATTGTTAAGTATGATGATTAGCTTGAAAATAAAAATTACAAGGACAAAATTGAGCATAAGTAAAAATAAAAGGACTAAAATTTTAATATCTTATTTTTCTTTATAAAGATTTCACTTTTGTCATTATTATTTTTCCTTTTAAAATATTATGCTTTTGCAATCAGTTGAAGCAGTTGAAATCGATTGTCATCTTTGAAGTAGTCAGAGCAATTTTTCTTGATGGTTGCTTTTAATAATTGCATCGTTCTTGTTTTGTAGTAGTTGTATGAAGCTTGGCTGATTCCTCCTTTGAGTAAAAAAATAAGTTTTCTTCGCTCAAAACTCAAGTTAACCGAATAATGAAATTTTGATTTGGTTTAGGGTCAATTGGGTTAAATTTTGATTGTAAAAATTAGATTTATTATATTTTAAAATGTACTGATTTGACTTGATGTTACATAAATTTATAATTTTTTAAATGTTAAGAATAAATGACAAAATTTCGTAGCTTAAAATAATACCTTACACATAACATAATAATATTTTTATATTTTCATAATTTGTTTAAAAATATATGGCCTAAAGCTCAATTTATTATTTTTCAAAAATAAATTTTAAATTGTGTGTAATAACTAAATTAGTGTATTTTATTTAAATATCAAGTTAATTCAATCATTAATTCGCCATGACGCCTAAAAAATTAACCCTACAAAAATATTGAGCTGGGATGAACTTGGCCAACCAGTTGTATACTACTATACTCCTAGGGTTTTATTAATCTCATGTTAAAGAAGATAATTATCTCATGTCATAGAGACAAACTAGTGGGCTCCACTATCTAAAAAAATAAAATAAAAAATAAAAAAAATGTGACACAGTTATCGAAGGATGTGTAGGAGAGAAAACTTGTCTTATGTGACATGAGAATAGTTTTTCTCATACTCCTATAGTCCTATCTACTTTTTTTTTGTTTGTAATCACTCCTATCTACTTTATCTTCTTCTCTAAGTACAAAAGATTTAGAAATTAATTCTGTGATCATTTTCTCTTTCTCTTTTTTTCTCTCCTCTCTTTTCTCTCTAGACAGCCCACGTTGAATCGGGACCACTATATATTATTATATTTGCTCAAAAGATCTTAAATGTGGCTACTACCTATATAAAAATACGGTGAGGGTTATATTTACAAATTTTTTGTTTCTTTCGAAAATACACTAGATTTACACTATATATTTCTAGGAATATATAATATAATTTATAAAAAATTGTAAAAAAAAATTATAAACGGATCATTCCCCTAAAAATATAGTGCTATTTTTTTGCATTTCTTTTATATGAAAAGTTGAATGTTCGAATCAGATTTTTAACACAAGGTTCCTATGGTTAAATAATATTCATTTGGCGAAAAATACTTTTTCCATTAACTTTTTTATAATTTGGTTTCATTATTTATTTAGTAAATTGTTAATAGGGGTGAAATTATGTCAGACGATTTGTTGAAAGCCTACGGTCTGAACCATTTACCAAATAAATTGTATCAAAGCTATTTGAAAAGCTTATTTAGCCAAATTTTAAACAATCAAAAAGGCCTTATAACCTAAAATGTTAGCATATTTGAATAGATTTATTTTATTATTATTATTATTATTATTATTATTATTATGAAATCATATTATCGTTAAGCTATTTGAAGGCATAGCCTCCTTGGCTTATTTTAAGGCCTAGACTCTTTATTCTATTTAGAAGTAGGTCAAATAGTATGTACAGATCTTATACCTGATATTTAGTGTTCTAAAGCTTTAGATATCAAGATAAGAAACTACTAAAATTTATTGAAATAATTTAAAGGATATCATCTCAAATTTTACTCAAATCAAGAAAAAAAAGAATTTTTTTAAATTGAAAATCGATATTTGAAAAATGTGATAGTCTTTAATTGGGAGTTTGATTATGTATAAGAAATGTCGGAATTTTAATTCCATTTATCTTTGATATATTTATAAAAAATTACAAAAAAATTAATTGTATAAATTATTAATAAATTAAAAAATTATTTTTTATAAAAATAAAATAATAAATCAAAATAATTATTAAAAAAATCAATTATGAAGAAAAATTAATTTTGACATGACATATGAGACAATGCCAACTCTAATGTATCCTGCTCTGTATTCAAACAACTTAAAATCTTGTTATCTTAAAAAAAATATTTATGGGTTAGTTAATTTTAACAAATCTTGTAAAAAGGTTTTATTATGAAAAAAAAAATCTACAAATACATAGAATATAAGTAGGGGTGTTAACAGGCTGAGCCGAGCTTTGGTCTTAAGAGGCTAAGCCTGTGTTTAAATGTGTCAGTCTGACCAAGCCTGTTACTTGTTATGAATATAATTATTGACATGTGGCCTGACTTATTTACAAAAAATAAAAGTTAAAAGCCTGGTTTAGCCTATTTAAAAAAAATAAGACAATAAAAATTTATCCAAATAGAATATACAATCAACAGCACTAGTAATTCCAAAAATATTCATAAATTCAATATATAACCAAACAACATAATATAGAACAAAATTATTCAAAAAGTCTGTTTAACAAATAAAATGGAGTGAAATGGATTGAAGGGAGATAGGGGGCTATTACAAGCAGTATAAAAAATATAAAATAAAAATAAAAATTAATATACTAGGCCAGCCTGAGAGGCTCTAAGGCCGAACTTTTTAATTGGAGCCTGAGGTCTTTTTATTAAACGAGGTTTTATACAAGTTCAAGTCTGGTTCCAACAACCAATTTTAGACATATAAGCTCAGACCTTCACGAGCCGAGCCAAAGGCCCCTGGTTCGTTTAGTACCCATAAATATAAGATAATATAGCCATATATAAACATAAAACATTTGAGGATGAAGTATCATATAATTAATATTGTAGATCTTTACATGGATTTAAAAGTTTTAGAACAAATTTATAGGATAAAAAAATGACTTTTAATTATGAGAAAATTTGGAAAATAAAAAATTAACCTGTAGATAAAATGTGCATATAAATAAACAAATAAGAATATGTTTTAAAATTAACCTATCATGCATTTCAAAATTAACACATTATTTCCCAGTTAAACTAAATAACAAGGTAAATCTAAACTATGCAAACCAGAGAATTTAAAAGTTTTTCTTTCTTTCTTTCTTTTTTGGTATATATTACTCATCTTAATCCTATTTAATTTATTTCCTTTGGTTATTTGGTTTTTAATTATTTTTTTCACTTCAATTTTTGTAGCCTTTCATGTTTGTATCATTGTAACAACAATAAATAAATACAAATTAGCTAAAACTAAACTCCTAGCCTAAGTGCAAATTAATCCACAATTTAAAATTTTACCCTGATCCAATCCAAGGACTCCAGAACTTTTGTAAGCCCAAAATTTCTACAAGAACCCACAAATTCCAAAGTTATAAGATAATTTTTTATTTATTTATTAATTTAAATCAAATGTGCTAACCTTATCCTGCTAAAAATCAGAATTATATTTCTCTTCTTTCTCTTTTTTTATCTAAAGGCAAAAGTAAATGAAAATTTTAAATGACCGATAAATTTAAATTAGAATTTTTAAACCTCTCCAAAGGCTCAAACACCTTAATTAACTGAACCTCTCTCTTACAACACAGATAATACACTTCCAAATATTTCATTGATTGAAAGTATGGGCTCATTTTTAACACATTATTAATGTCTGGGTAATGTTCAGTATGGACTCAAGCCTCGAAGTGTTTGGTGGGTTTTTTAGCTATTGCTCTGCTTTCATTTTACTTGTGTTTTCCGTTTCCCTTAATGTGGCTCAACTTCTCAGCTACTAATAGAGTTAGTGAAACATTGAGTATATATCATTAGTTCAGAAATTTCCAATTGATGTAAAGAGTTGGAGGACACACCCCTTCCACATATCAGCTAATTAAAACTAGTTCAAGATCACACATATTAAAAACCCCACGATAATAATTTGCTAATCCAAATTAGCTTCCAAGGTAAAATGTTCAGCTTCAATCATTGAAAAGTGAGACAATACTCGGTGCCATGCATTATTGTAATATTGTACATTAGCTATGGCTTGTGACATAATTTTTTGCTGTGTTATTGTTTAATTTTCCATCCTCCCATCAAAGCGAATTGAACTTTTACTATATCCCATTTTGGATCCTCATGACATCAATATATGATTTCCCTTGCAGCTCCTGTGAAAAGTATCCCTTATAGAACTCTTCTACACTAATTCTATTGAACTCTGCAGGTTTTTCAGGAGTAACAAGGCTTGGTGCTGGACCTATAACTGCGTTTATCCTAGCACTGTGAAATGCAGCAATGGAAATCCTCTCTTTCTCTGAGTTAATTGTTGCTCGATGTTCGATGCTTCGGTAAATACCATTGGTCATTATCTGCCACACAATTTAGGATATGTACAAAAAAAAATACTTAAAATCAGAATGTCTTATTCTTATAGTGTTGTAAAATTACTTAAATATCAAATGATAATAGGATTTGTGAGTTAATGATTTTGTGCTATAGTTACCTCTAACATGTCTCCAACGTTGATGACAAAAGCATTAGGAAGAGGTTTAATAGGAATCCACATTCCATCTTTTCTTATTTGAAGGCCTTCCATTTCATTCACTTGTAGAAGGATTGTAAGGGCACCAGCATCAGAATGAGGATTGAGTCCAATGACTTGTTCTGGTTGGGGACATGGAGGGTAGTAATTCATCCTCATTGCTTGGCCTCCCTCTTCAAATAACTCTAGCAATTCATTGGGATTGATCTTAAGAGCTTTTGTCATAGACTCAATGATTGAGACACACAGCTTTTTCAGTTCTAATGAATATCTCTCCAGATTATCTCTGCAATGAAAACAATGTTTGTTACTTTCTTTGAGTTTTCTGTAGTTAAGGTGGTAGCTAGCAAGATAAATGCATACAAAAAAACAAAAATAGTGAGGGAGAGAACCTGAATGGTTGGGGAATAGTAGGAAATAAGTGGGGATTTCTTATGTATGAAGGAAGAGTGACAATGTAGAATAAATCTGCCCATTCAAGTTTGTGTTCCTCTGATACAACAAACATCTGACCAAATCCTTCCATTTCTCCTGGTTTCTGCCAAAATACTTTCTTCTCTTCCATTTGAAGATTGAAAAGTTCTTGAACATCTATCTTCAAATTTTCCACCAATGAAGGATTGACTCCATGATTGATCACCTATCATTAATTTTCATAATAAAAAATTTAACAAGAAAAAAAAAATACTATCATTCAGCAATTTCTTGAATTATGGCATATCCATATCAATCAAGTCTGTGTTGTCCCCTTCATTTTCATTTCAATTGAAGAAAAAAAATGGTAAGTTCGGCAAAAGTATTGACAATTGAAAGGGAAAGTACAATCATTTATGAGAGAGGGAAATTATTTTGATAAGTTGTCATTTTTCAATGAAAAGGACAAAGGGGATATGCAATTTTTGCATGACTACGTGTCTATTAAAATGACATCATTAAGAACTTTTTTTTATTGTTGTGCAGTAGATCAGTGGATGTTAAGTTTTTGATTAGTTGTGCCTAATAAACACTATGTTCATGTAAGAAAATTCCCAAAAAAGATAGCGATTTGAATTTATATCCATGATGCGTGTAAAACTGATTTCTTAGAAAAATTGAGGCTACAATGAACTGAAATCAAAAGGCACTCTATTAAAGATATAATTTTATTTCAGTCATCGTGAAAAAAACAAAAAAAGTATTGTTATACCAGGAGGGTTATATGTTACAAGTCCACGTTACAAATTCTTACAAACTATATTATGTACTTCCGGGAGAACACTCGGTTACATTATGTTATTCCAGAAGTACACAGTGTAATTTACAAAAATTTGTAAAAAAAAATTTGTAAGCTGATGATTCTCCTTATTATATATCCATGTTTTACTCTATCTTGACTATGAACAGGGCACGGTTTTAACACTAGGTAAAAATAAAATAAAGGAGCACAATAATCCAAACCTGGAAGAAACCCCATTCTTTGCATGCATGATCCAGCTTCTCCAGTTCAGTTGCATCTTCACACAACAATTTGTTGAGGTCAATGACTGGGACTTGTGGCAAAGATGTTGTGTGAGATACAACAGGAGGGTCTTGATTTGGATGAACATATCGTTCTGGAACTTTGGTCATGGTTTGCTTTGCTAGCTCCTGGACAGAAGGAACTATTATAGAGGTTCCAAGGTTCTTGACCATTTCCGGATCCATAGCTGCAAAACAAGTCCAGTCAGCTTGATATTTCTTTCTCTGATCAGTGATCAATCCCCTTGCTTGGGTTAATTTGATGAGAGATATTGGAATAAATATGAAGCTGCAATTCAATTTCAAAGTCATGGGGACCATCAAGTTTCAATATTATATATTTATACAAAATGACTTTTCCAAATCAACCTAACAAAACTTATCAACTTATCAATGATGAACAGATAGTGTTAATATATACATTTAAAGCAGACTCTATTGTTTATTGGAGCAATTTTTCTTTACAGATGCTTCCATTAATTGCATTTGTCTTCTTGTGTTGTTGTTATGTGATGCCTTCGTTCCGCCTATGTTGAATATGGCTACAAATCTAGAACTATTTATTTATTTTACACAAAGTTCATGTGGCTAATATAATATTCACATCATATAGAAATAACCGCAGCAAAATTTGAAATAGTGTACCTTTGATTTGAATTAATAAAGGGGATTTTTTTTTCATGCAATAGGAGAGGAGTTTTATCTCCTATTAACATAAATGAAGTGGAGCCCATCGATTTAAAAAAAAAAAAAGTGATACGTTATTTGATACGAGTACAATATGAAAGAGTAATCTCATGTAACATGAGAATATAATTTTCCATTAATTCATATAAATAAAGAGTTCATTTTTCTGCAATGAATACACATAAGTTATCTGTATTGAGCCCAAAATGACATTATTTTGAGACAAAAATTAATGTATTTTTGTAATTATAACTTATTTCAAAGTTATAACAGTTTTTATCATTATAATTTTTTAATCTTGCAACTTAAAATAACGTCGTTTTGAGAGTAAATATAGATAGCTTATATTTACATATACTCTAGAAACATTAAAACCATAAATTAGGGGTGGCAATACGGGTCAACCCGACACGACACGACACGTTTTTGACCCGTACACTATTTGACACGACCCGTTTTGTAAACAGGTCATAAAACACAAACCCTGACACGACCCGTTGTGGGTCACGGGTCAATACGGCACGACCCGCAAAATTTAAAATTTTAAAAAAAAGTGAGATTTTTTGAAAAATAAATAAATTAAAAACAATAAAAAATAAAAATAAAAATAAAAAAAGATTAGCTTCTGTTTTTTGAGATTTTTAGTTCCTTCTATTCTTTTCTATACTAAACAATGACTATATATATTAATATATAAATGAATAAAAATAATAATATAATAAAATATTTAATAAAAAAATAAAAAAATGACACTTGTGCGGGTTGACACGCGAACCCGCGGGATGACACGTGACCCGACACGAAAAAAAACGGATCACATTTACACAACCTTGACACAACCCGCCTGACCTGCGGGTTGACACGACACGTGATTTGACGAGTCGGGTCACGAGTCAACCCGCGGGTCAATATCTGTATTGCCACCCCTACCATAAATAAAACACATTAGATAGACAATTGACTATTTGTTATTTGGAGAGGAGCATTGCACACTTGGGTATACTTACACAACACGAAAAAACATGTTTGTGAGTGCATTATCTTTCTATTATACTTAGGTTTGTTTGGATGTGATTTTTTTTTTAATGGTTTCAATTTATTTATTCAATAAAAGGACTAAAAGTTTGTAGAACTGTCAATAAATGCTTCAATTCATTTTGGTTGCCCTAGTTGAAACGGCTTTGTGGGTTTTTCGCCCTCTTTTGTTTTTCGGCTGGGCTAAATAGAGTGGGCCAGCTTATATTGACAATTCTATAAATTATGAATCACCCTCTTTCCCGGAAATCATACAAAAGTCAATCAATATTTTTATAATTATTTATTTTAATATTTTTTCTTTATTTATTTATTATTATTAATCTATCTTTATATGATTATAATTTTTTACATGATGATATCATATATTTTTTTAACATAAGAGAATTCAAATCTATTTCTCCCATATTGTTTTAGAGGGACGTGGCAATTGATTAATTTATGTGGACATTACGGTGGGTAATCTGACCAGTATGGGTTCACTTGTTTGGAGGGTTTTAGCTATTGCTCGGACTTCTTTTATGTTGTGCTTTCTGTTTTGCAAGTTCGACTTCTTTAGCCAAAACTAGAAAATTTATTCAGCGCTAATGATCCACTAAATTTTCGATGTATCTTCTATATATAATATATGTGATTTATTTTTATTAAATTATTAATAAATAACTTATTTTAAAATTAGGTGAGAGAATTATTCGATAAAAAATAAGACATGTGTCACATTATGAATAGAAAATGTATCGAAAACTCATTGCATCCCTAACACTCAAGATATTCTCCAAAAACTGGAGTGAAATATTTTAGTATATGATCAGGATAAAATATAGGCCCAGTGGAAGAAGCCCAAACCCATTAAAGATCCAAAGCAAAGCGCGATGGACAAACATCGTGCATAAGACGCGATGCCCTCACCGCGCTGGACGAGACGCGATACTCATATCGCGGACAAAACCCCCTTAAGGAAGCTAACTTAAGGCCCAAGGCAATCCCACCGCGCCTTTATACCAATAAACGAAAGACAGCACCAGCTTACCGCGACTCTACAACTGGACATTAGAGAAGCTAAGGCTACTCAGGTCCTAGCAGTGACGTGCAGCCCAAGCCTGACCACTCAGAGGCCAAGTTGCCTTGCTAAGGCGGCATTCTAAACATTATATAAGCAGATGGTACAATACCAAGGTATAATCATCATTTACATTAATAGCATATAAACTCCTGCCTCTGATACTGACTTAAGCATCGGAGTGTCATCGCAGGTACTCCCATTCAGATCCAACGCGCTACAACAAAAGACAGAGACAAAATAAGATCTAACCTCAACTCCAGGTCCAAGACCAAGAACAACAATCTATATCTCAACCGTGTGTGATTTGGCTCGATACATATTGGTCAGCCCATATTGTATTTGTTCTTATCAGTATACATGGCCAGTTAAGAAATCTCCGATTCATGTGATTTACATCTAAGTCACGCTCTGTTATGAGAATGTTTATAAGCTCTATATTTTGTTTTGTTAAAAGATATTTTTCTTTTGTACAGAGTCAACTGCTGATCTTAGAAGGATTTGGAATTAAAGTGGTAAATTGTTTGTGCAGGCTCTTTTTGGCAACTCTATCAAAAAGAAAACTAATTTGTGTTACTTTAATTCATGATGCTGTGAATTGCTGCTAGTTATATTGTTCAAATAATCATTATAAGATGAAAATCATTGATCCCATTCTCAAAAGCACAATAAAATGAAAAAAAAGTAATGTAGTTTAAGTTCATTTTAACTAATAATGCATCGTTGTAGCTGGTAACCATTAATTGAGTGCACTTTATTGCCGAGGCAAATTATTGTTTCCTTTACTGAATCTGAGTTAACAAGTACATAATTTCCGGTGCACATAAAGGTTAAATATTAGGGGGGGAAATACATAATTTATATTGGAACAAATAATAGAGTTTTATCAATTTGGTCTGCATGAGCCAATACTGACATATATTGCCAAAAAGTTGTATCCTGGAGAATTTTAGTGACTGGCTGAACATATTCAATCACTGTAATCCTTGTTGGTTCTGCATCATGTTTAAAAGATTTGTAACATAATATCTAATAAAGAGAAATCATAATTTTATGAAAAAGAAGAAAACAATAAATGTTACCTGCATTTGAGTACAGATCTCAATGACTTCAGCTACTGGTGCCCAATCACCAAAGTTCCTTTCTATAAACTGGTAAGCAATGCCAGTCTTTCCACTCCCTATTATAAAGAGTCCACCCTTTATTTCACCTTCTCCTTTGAAATTGTATTTAACTTCCAAGCTTTTTGCACGCTTGAAGTTGGAAAGTGCTCTTGTATTCAGCAAAAATCCTGATAGGAACTTCTCCTTGAGCAGTTTTCCCCCTCCAAGAGCTCTATAGAAATCCCTACCCCGATCAAGAAGTACAACACCACCCCAATATCTAGGCCAGAATTTTTTTACCTGTTATACCATAATAATAAGTCAAGTCATGAAAAGTAGAATGAAAGAACAAAAATGGCTCAAGTCTGGTAATACCTCTGACTCTATGTGCTCATGAATGACTGCAAATAGTTGAACCCCAAGTGCATCAAATATGGGTTTTCTGGAAAAAAGCTGGTGTGCCTCAGCTCTACACATGATGCAGCTGTTTTCAAGGAACTTAAGTGATGAAGAAGAAACAATTACACCCTAACAAACAAAGAGACATTTAAGTGGGGAGGATCAACATACACCGATGTAAATCTAACAAGTCTTACATTTATTATTAGCCATTGATTCTACTTGCATCTAATAGTTCACATAGATAATAAATTAGAATTATCTTATCCAAATTGGATCAATGACTAACCATGAATGTGGGATCAGTGAATAACAATAACCGTAAGAATTGTACCAACATAAGTTGATCCTTCCCCATTTAAAGTATTCAAAAAAATATGGGAATTTTCAGGGATTCAGAAGTTAATATTTGTTCTATATCAATCTTTGTGTGTGTTGGTTTGATTGTTTGTATCTTGTTTCTTTATAGTAATGACCTTATGCACATAACAACTACAAAGACACACATGTCTGAACCCATGCAAATTTATCAGAAGAGCATGATTGAAGTAAATATATTGCAATACAAGCCAAATTGGCAATTCTCTAGTGTAATATAACAATTTACCCTGGTCTTCGGAGGCACAGGAAAACAGCTGGTTTATCTCGCCATAGTGCTGAAGCCTTCAGTGGAGGTGCTTTGGTTTTTACCAATGGTTCCATGCCAATCTTATACTCTGGAGTTAATTTTTGAACTGAAATATTTTCAATAGCACTATATGGAGCAACTTGGTCACTGACAGGAGGTGGTTTCACTTTCACACAGCAACATCCCCTAGACTCAGCTGGCTCAGAAGCTACAATCCCTTTAAAGACATATCCATCTTTAATCCTCATATCAACCATTGATTGTTCCAATGATTTATCAGAAGCTGCATTACTCCTTATATGTGATCTCATCGTACTACTTGAGCTATAGGATCCGACACTCTTGGGGATGCTATCATCACTAGACATTATGCTGGTTCTTCTTCTAGCAGCAAGTTCACGTAATTTAAGAGAGTCATCATTTCTGGTTGTGTGTACAAAACGAGCAATGTGGCCTCTCTTCATTTCAAACTGGGCAACAAGATCCATTGTGCTTAAATTAAGAATTTCTGGAAGACTTTTCTCACAGTGCTCCATCTTATCTGCATATTGCATCAAACCACGATCATGCAGGTAAGACCTGATTCCAAGTGCTACCTATGTTATTAGAAGGAAAAGACTATAAGAAGCATATAGTTTTATAGTGAGTGTTATCTGGTAATGATAGAAGTTGCATTCCGAAGCAGATTATGATTGAATAATAGGATGATAGCAGAATTAAATAATAACTATCGATAATGATAACCCACCTTTTGCTTTTGTGTCATGTGTAATGAATCCATGTCCTCTGAACTCATAACCTTCAGGGTTGGTACATCATCCCAACCTTCTTCCAACAACTTTGGGAGTAGTCCCTTCAAAATTCCATTTCCTATGAATTCTTCCACTGAAAAAGAAGCCATTCTTTCCTTACTAGGATTGGTTGCTCTTGATGAATGATAATCTTATCATATGAATGTGATTCAATGTGCAGACAACCTTGTTGCTTTGGCCAAAGTATCATGCATAATGTGTATATAAGCCTTTCATAGACGATATAATTTAATATACGCATTTAATGTGTCCTTGGTTAATGATGTGACAATCTGGTTCAACCTTTTTCTATATGGTTAATCAATCCACTTATCCTGCCGCACTGCGAATTTATCTATTACAAAAATAGAAAACAAGTATAAAAGGTTTTTTTTCTGTCTTTTTAGTTTCTAATTGTTTTGAGCTAAAGATGAAATGAACAAATAGATTCTGTGTGTAATTTGTGTTTGAATGCCCTGTGTAAAATCATATTATTGGCTTAATGTCATGTAACTATGCATATTCTGGTCTATTTATGAGTTCTTCTAGGTTAATCAATTTTATGACTGGTAAACCACTGCAGTAAACGTCCATATGTAGTGCCCTAAAAAAAGGTTCCATATGTGAGAAAGAAAAATAAAAGTAAATTCTATTTTTCATGGCGTTACAGCCAATAACCAAACCAGTTGGGAAAAAAAAGGACGCTATAGTATTGAAGCAAGAACAAAATCTTAAAATAAAAAATTAGACAAAGGACCGTGAAAGAAACCAAAAAAAGAAACAAAACTTCGGAGAACAATGCAAGGTTTAAAAATCAGAGATGAGAAAGTTCCGGCAGATCAACTAACATTTGACTTGGTTCAATGGAACAGGACAAATTTGGGGGTGCATTAGGCAACTCTTGCGGCTTGACACCTTAAATTGTTTTCATTTGCCGGCCAAAATCTGCTCTTTTAGTATCTAGAAATTATCAAGTGCACGTTTGTCTCACAAGACACATTTTTTCACCCTGGCCCAACCTTCAAGAGCTGATCTAACCCATTGAGATAGTATAAAGAAGCAATTACATGGTAAACATTGGCCAAAATGCAAATGCAATCATGCAACCAACTAGAGGATGCTACTGAAAGATATTATTGGAACTAATCTTGACCATCCATTCAAGACTATATACATGGGTAGGATCCTTTGATATCAAATTTAAAATTTAACACCTCATCTGATAGCCGTTAGATCAAAAAAGATCAACGGTGTCACATGCTTACAAATCAGAGTCGTTGATCTTTTTTGATCTAACGACTATCAGATGAGGTGTCAAACTTCAAATTTGACACCGGTGTCAAAGGATCCTACCTCTATATATATATATATGGGTTATTCTGCTTACTCTTGTTTTGACTACTTTGCCTACCTTTTTAATATCGTTAGATTACAATCTCATATAACGGTGGAGATTTACAATATAAAATAAATTCTTTTATCCCTTTCTCTCTCTCACTGGCTCTCACTCTTTCTCTCTCCTCCCCTTTCTCTTTCTTCAATGGCGCTTCAACATCAAAATAAGGTGCAAGCTTTTTTCTCAATACATCTAACCCAACCATTATTATGGGCCTTTACATAAAAAATTGAAATAGGGTGTCAAGAAGAAATAAACTCAGATGCCCTATGTTATGGAACCAGGTAGACATGTTGTTGGGTGTAACATAGAGAGAACTGTGAGGAGGAGCCATCGCGAGGGGGATAGCCATGAAGTTGGTAACATTGAGTGACATCATGGTATGGTTTGCCACAATGAGTGCAAACGACTTTGGGCTTGGAAGATTCAGCGCCATCCATAGAGGAGTGTTGACGTTGCACAACAAAGCCTAAGGCCTCAGCAGGTTCTGCAGTGGAAGAGACTATAGAATGATGAGTTTCTTCTTGTGAGAGCATTGCGAAAACCCGGTTCATGGTAGGAAGAGGGTTGGTATTCAGAATTTGGGTGCGCACATGACCGTAAGTAGCATGATCAAGACCCATTAGGAATTGATACAAATGGTTCTGTTCTGTTTAATCAGCAACAGACTTTGTAAATTCGCAAGCAGCACCTGTTGTGCAACGGCGTAGGGACCGACTAGTCTCTAGTTCATCCCAAATGGCTCGTAGTTTGGTGTAGTAGTCTGCCATAGAGGAGCCATTTTGTCGTAGGGAGGACATGGTGCTTTTTAGTTGGAAAATACGAGGACCATTGGAGATGGAGAAACGTTCCTTCAAGTCATCCCATAATTCTTTGGCAGTATCAAAACATTTAATAAATGGTTCTAATTGAGGATCAATGGTATTGTGGATCCAGCTATTCAGCATAGATTTGCATAGAGTCCAGGCAAAAAACTCGTCGGATTTGTCATCCTTTGGGGCGATGATATCTCCGGTTATGAAACCAAGCTTATTTTTGGCTATGAGGGCAATTTTGAGCAATTTAGCCCAATTGTTGTAGTTTGATTGACCACAGAGCAAGGAGAATACCAGGGCTATCAGATGAATGAGTGTAGAAAGGAGACCGATGGTCAGTTATTTTGAACGTTCTTTCAGCCATGGTTCTTGGCTGAAAAAAATTTGAAGAAAGAAGGAAAAATAAGGAAGCTTGATCGATAGGCTCTGATACCATGTTAAGAATCTTAAGGTCACCACCCCAAAAGCTAGCTCAAAGGGTGGGAGTATCCAAGGCCTTATAAACCTCACATTAATTGCTCATACAACCAATGTGGGACTATATTTCTCAACAAGAACAGAGATCATTTTCTCACTCTAAGGTGAAAAACAAGATAAGAAGAAGGAGATAAGTTGATTCATTTCAAATTTCGACAGCAAAGTAGAAATGTTACGGTAATTGTGGATTAATTCAAATGAAGGGTTATTTGTGTTTTCTGCCATGCTCAATTATATCAGATTCAAGAAATTTTGAAAATTATACTCATCCAGCAGAACTATCATGCCATTAATCATTGCATGGATTTAGATTCAAATATAACTTCAAGTTGTAAATTACGAAAATCGATAGAGAGAAAGAGTGTGGGAGACAGTGAAGAGAAAGAAAGGGGAAAAAGGTTTATTTTATTCTGCAAATCTCCACTGTTGGATGATATTGTAATCTAACGGTATTGAGAGAGATAGGCAAAATAAGAGTAAGCAGAAAAACCTATATATATATATATATATATATATATAATATATATATATATAGGGAAGGATATATTTACTACCAAAAAAGTTTATAACTTTTACAACTAACTTAATCATCATTGATTTCCGTTAATCTAACGGTTGTAATTTATTGAAAATTATTGGGTCGCATTTATTAATTAATTATTAATTTTCAATAAATTATAACCGTTAGATTGACGAAAATCAACGGTGATTAGGTTGGTTGTAAAGGTAGTGAACTTTTTTGGTGGTAAGTATATCCTACCCCTATATATATATAGGGATAAATTATTATGCCTACCCTTACTTACCACTTTAATGATATTGGAGAATAGTAGGCATGAAAAAAAGGTAATAGAATAACCTATCTCGTATATATATACATACACGGGACATCATCAATTTTTATCGAAGTAAGAATAAAAAATCTTACACCTAATCTTAGTCATTGCACCCATCTTACTACAAGTCATAAGATATATGTAGATCAGCGGCTAAAATATATAGAGAGCGAAAGAGAGGTTAAGTCAAAGAGTGCTGGTACATGCTATCTGGTATGAGGGGTATACTTAGTGTCTGATTGGATCTTTTTTTTTTAGCTTCTCTACTCCTAATAAGTATAAGATAAGCCAAACAGGTTTTGAGAAAAACTCTTATAATGAAAAGCTCTTTTTATAACGAAGAAAAAAGCCAAAAGCTCCCAGGAGGAGCTCTTTCTTAAGCTCTTATCAGCTTTTCTTGAATTGTATACTCTTTTTAAATGAAGATATATAGAGATAGAGATAGAAAGAGATTTTTTTTGAGACGTGTGCTTTAAAGCTACAAAATTTATGTAATTACAAACAGCTTTTAGTTTTTTCTTAAACTCTTTTTTTTTAACTTTAGCTTAAAAGTAGCTTCTATCTTAAAATAGAGAGGATCCAAACAGGCTCTTAGAAGGTATGCTATTTTGGATTAAAATTTTCTTAGAATTGGATTTGCTATTTTGGATTGCCAAGGCTCGTTAATATTTTCCATTGTGTATCCAAATCATATTCAAAATAAAAAAGTTTGAAAATTAATGGAAAATATGTAAGGGTCTGTATGTATATGTACATATCAAACCCTAGTGAACCGGGAAAAACTTCATTTCCACGTTTCCTACATGGAAATCTACACTGTTGTGCTGAAAAGAAACTCTAGTTGAAGATTAGCTTCTTTCAGCAGAATAGCTAAGTTTGACAGAATCTGAGAGTTTACACAAATAAAATTGGCAACAAACTTTATTTGGTACTCACATCTTCACGATCCACAAAGTCAGCAAGACGTCCTCCACTAGCCCTGTATCCCATATCTGGTTTATCCCATTGAGCACCCTTTTGTTTATCCTCCATTGGTATAGCCAAGAGTATCCGGGGCCTAAATAAAAAACAATACCAGCATTGATTTTAACAAAAATAAACTATGGATGATGAACTGAGCATGCACATTCTCCAAAAACAAGTTCCAACCTCAAAAACAGGTTCTAGTTGATTCTTGGGAGCCCTTTTGACTGCTTCATGTTGCTGCTTAGCTCCATGTGTTCTCATAACATAAGAGGGCAAAAACAAGTACGCACCTTTGTGGTACCTACCAAAACATTGGAATGTTTGTGTAAAGAACCTTGGGATACACCACCCCAAAAGCTAGCTCAAAGGGTGGGAGTGTCCAAGGCCTTATAAACTCCACATTAGTTGCACATACAACCAATGTGGGACTATATATCTCAACACGCCCCCTCACACGAGAGCTCTTTGGGCTTGAAGAGTGGACAATGCAACAGGCCCAGCCTACTTGTGCCAAGAAACGCCACAAGAGAAAGTGGAGGACGGCGAGACTCTGATACCATGTAAAGAACCTTGGGATACACCACCCCAAAAGCTAGCTCTAAAGAGTGGGAGTGCCCAAGGCCTTATAAAGGCCACATTAGTTGCCCACACAATCAATGTGGGACTATATATCTCAACACGCTCCCTCACACGATAGCCCTTTGGGCTAGAAGTGTGGATATTGCACAGGCCCAATTTTTGAGCTAGCTTTTGAGGTGGTGTATCCCAAGGTTCTTTACATGGTATCAAAGCCTCGTGTCCTAGGTTCAAACCTCGCCGCCCCCCAATTTCCTTCTAGTGGAATTTCTTTGTTCGCACAGGTAGGTGGGCCTGTGCATTGTGAACTCTTCAAGCCCAATGGGCTCTCGTGTGAGGGGGCGTGTTGAGATATATAGTCCCACATTGGTTGTATGTGCAACTAATGTGGAGTTTATAAGGTCGTGGACACTCCCACCTTTTGAGCTAGCTTTTGGGGTGGTGTATCCCAAGGTTCTTTACATGGTATCAAAGCCTGGTTTCGTGTCCCGGGTTCAAACCTCGCCGCCCCCCACTTTCTCTTGTGGAATTTCTTAGCACAGGTAGGCTGGGTCTGTTGCATCATCCACTCTTCAAGCCCAATGAGCTCTCGTGTGAGGGGGCATGTTGAGATATATAGTCCCACATTAGTTGTATGAGCAATTAATGTGGAGTTTATAAGGCCTTGGGTACTCCCACCCCTTGAGCTAGCTTCCCAAGGTTCTTTACACGGTATCAGAGTTTGAGTGACTACAAGGTCACAAGTCCGATCCTCACCGCTCCCCACTTTAAAGAGGAATTAAAATTAAAGCACAAAAAAGTAAACCAAAAATTGGGCCTGTGCAATATCCACACTTCTAGCCCAAAGGGCTCTCGTGTGAGGGGGCGTGTTGAGATATATAGTCCCACATTGATTGTGTGGACAACTAATGTGACCTTTATAAGGCCTTGGACACTCCCATTAGAGCTAACTTTTGGGGTGGTGTATCCCAAGGTTCTTTACAGTTTGCAACTAAAATAGGAAGAAAAGCAGCAGAATTAGTTGGCTGCCAAAATTTCAAGCTGTAGGTCAATATTATTCCATCAAAAGCAAACTCATTAGAACATTGGGCCAGCAAAGTTATGAGGTGTTTGAATTTATAAATGAATAAGCTAACAAAGCAAAAATTCCCAAGGTCGAAAGGAGCTTTAAAATAAATTGGCAAAAAAAAAGTTCAAGTACATACAGTACCGTGTTCAATTAATAGGTGGCACCAACATTTGGCATGTATTTGATGACTATGTTCCTGGCCTGTTAGTGTAATCCCAGATAGTAACAGTCTCATGAATCTATGCATCTACAAGCAAATATGTTGCTGTACATACAAGACCACAACAAATCTGTCTAACCTACTTGAAGAAATGTGAACATTAATTCAAGTACAAACAAATTGAACAATCCACAGATCAAGAAAATCACTTACAGTCTTTTCTAGGCCTTTCTGCACAAGATGGTCACAGTCAAAAACACCATATCTCCTACACTCCTTCCAAATCAAGCAAAAAGAATTCAAAGGAAGAGAACAAAAGAACTTTAAAATGATGATAGTGATTACGAAAGAAAGACTAAACAGAGATGCTATCAATCTCACTGTGAATCAAATGTAACTGTTTCAAAAGTGTGCTTGAATGCAGGGCGTATATCTGGTGGACCACCTCCTAATTGATTGACAGGTGGATGTATGTAAGCTGTTTCTAATAACAGCAGCATTAAGCGGCTGCCAACCTGGAATGTACAATGACTACACTGTAACATGTAAAGATGAAAGCTTCCAAGTTCTTAGGTACAAACATAACAGATCTTTACTTGAGCTTCCTGTCCCTAAGCTTCCAGTCATCTAGTCCCCTTATTATTCCCATTGCTTGTTGCATTGCATCTTCCGCTTTTTTAATCAAATTAGAAACATTTTTACTAATTATATTCTTCTCTTTAACCATTTTCTCATGCTCTTCCGTCAGTTTGCCTCTTCCTATGGTTGCAAGATCAAATTCACCATCAGGCTCTTCGGTGGTTGTGCTCTTCTTTTTCTTTGTCTTCTCCACATATATATTGTACATCCTTGCCTGATCCATATACAAGGGTAGAATTTCAGCCAATGAATACTCGAATATTTTGCACCCATTATAATGACATCTAACTTGAACTCTAATCTGGAAAGTACCACGTTATCTACATAACACTAAATTCAAGAGGCTGTAGTAGTACATTGACTATTACCTTCACTAGAGCATTAGCATTTGAGTGACATGAGGGAAGAAACACAAAGTATAACTGTGTTAGATAACTGGAATCATCAACATAAATTAGCTTAACCTAGTAAATTATTTCAGTCAGAAGAAAGACTATCAAAATTCAGGCACTCCAGTCATGTGACCAAGAAATACAATTCTATAGAAGTATAGAACTGACCGCATATATTTTAGTTCGTGTAACAAGTTTATTCATCTTTGACCAACTTCAATTCACATGTTACTAACTTCAACAAATGACAAAAAAGAGTCTATTTCTTACGTTCCAACTACATTATACCTCATTTTCAATGGCTTCACCTATTTGAAGTGCAGCTTGGATTACTCGAGCAGTGCCTACCCCATTACTTTTGGTTATCAACAATCCCATCAACTTATGTATCGTAATCACTGCCATCATTTTTGCAGGCAAATCATTAAAATAAGGAGCATGTGTAATCCTATGCATGCTTTCCTTTCAAACCTCCTGCTCAACAACAATTGCATTCCTTAGGGGCTCAAACCAAACAAGGAACAAGGACTTCATGTAAGGCAAATTGAGTGCAAGCTTATGCTCACACATGTCCTCCAACAGCTCTTGATATTCCCTTGCAGCCTCTTCCATGCCTCTGTCTCCATCTTTATCTGCCTACTCCTAAGCATTTTGTACTTGTATGTGGCCAAACCTGCCACCACATTCTTCTGCTGTTCCAATAGAGGTTTTCCCTTCTCTTTTCTTTCATCATTTGTTCTAACAAGTCCCGTACTTCATTGGAACCAGAATAGTCCTCTTCAGTATCCATGCACTCAATAGCTTCAGTAACACTTGCATAGCCTCTAGCCAGCTTTAAAGACCAAAAAAATAAAATCAGAAAGCAATAAATTGGATTGACCCAATTCGTTAATCAAGGTAAAAAAACCAACTTGGCCAAAGCCCAGAACTGGGCACCTCGGGTTTACCCTGGTTTGGGTCTGGGAAGGCATTATTTTCTAGAGAAAATTCGAGTGCTGAGAAAATATAGTTGAAATAGAAGAAGGGAAGTAAGAGGGTAACTTGAACTTCCTAAGGGAAGCTCGCTTGGCTAAGTGCGTCCACATTGCTGGATGGAGTGAGCAATTGGAACTTAGAACAAAGCAATTGAGGTTTTAGCAGATGAAAGATGCAGAGAGATCATCATTTGTAACATGATGAGTTTGATGAGATTTTCTGAGAAAATTTGAAGGAACTAAAATGTAGGTAAAAAAGTAAAAGTAAGTCACAGCCTCTCATTTAATTGATTTGACCTCATTTCTTTGCATAAATGAAATATTTGTCAAAAAAATTCTTACTGGTCCACTCTTAATTGTTTATTATTCTTGAAGTTGCAACGCTTTTTATATATGGATTTTATTTCTCTCATGTTATTGGAGATAAGTATTTCCTCTTACTATAGATACATGATATGATGGGACCCACCACCCATTAAAAAAAATGATAGTATAAATTTTTAGGTGAGAGTAGCATGAGATAATTATCTCATATAAAATGAGACAATAATTTCCCTTTACATATATATATGGACTTTGATTTTCTCATGTTCCATGAGAATTGAATTCTCATGTTATGACTCAACTAGTGGTGAACTCCACATTTATTAAAAGGAGAAAAAAAATGAAAAACTTTGCACACAAGTCGAAGGATCACAACATGAGAATTCAATTCTTATGTAACATGGGAAAATATCTATATATATATATATATATGAAAATGGATCCTCTCATGAGAAAAAAAAACATGATATGGTCATGTGGGAAGATCACAACCATACAAAGGTAAATCAACGGTTATGATTTCGTAACTATCTATTTTAACATTTTTTCTCTCTCCTCCTTTATTACCATTGATCCACTTTTCTATGGTTATGATTCTCCACATTACATGGTCATATGAATTTTCACATGAGAGAATCCAGATCCTTTTGCAAATTACACTAAGTACGACCGGTCATACACTACATGATTAAAGTATGACCGGTCGTACTTAGTGTAGTTTGTAAGAGTTTGTAAACAAAAAAGTTTTTGTCCCTATATATAGGTAAAAATGTAGGTAAAAAAGTAAAAGTAAGTCACAGCCTCTCATTTAATTGATTTGACCTCATTTCTTTGCATAAATGAAATATTTGTCAAAAAATTTCTTACTGGTCCACTCTTAATTGTTTATTATTCTTGAAGTTGCAACGCTTTTTATATATGGATTTTATTTCTCTCATGTTATTGGAGATAAGTATCTCCTCTTACTATAGATATATGATATGATGGGACCCACCACCCATTAAAAAAAATGATAGCATAAATTTTTAGGTGAGAGTAGCATGAGATAATTATCTCATATAAAATGAGACAATAATTTCCCTTTACATACATATATGGGCTTTGATTTTCTTATGTTGCATGAGAATTAAATTCTCATGTTATGACTCAACTAGTGGTGAACTCCACATTTATTAAAAAGAGAAAAAAAATGAAAAACTTTGCACGCAAGTCGAAGGATCACAACATGAGAATTCAATTCTTATGTAACATGAGAAAATATCTATATATATATGAAAATGGATCCTCTCATGAGAAAAAAAAACATGATATGGTCATGTAGGAAGATCACAACCATACAAAGGTAAATCAACGGTTATGATTTCGTAACTATCTATTTTAACATTTTTTCTCTCTCCTCCTTTATTACCATTGATCCACTTTTGTATGGTTATGATTCTCCACATGACATGGTCATATGAATCTTCACACGAGAGGATCCAGATCCTTTTGCAAATTACACTAAGTACGACCGGTCGTACACTACATGATTAAAGTATGATCGGTCGTACTTAGTGTAGTTTGTAAGAGTTTGTAAACAAAAAAGTTTGTAAATATAACTTGCCCCTATATATATATGGGTCAGGATCATTTTACACCAATGTAATTTACACTCTCAATCTTATCCGTTAATTTCATTTATATCTAACGGCTCAAATTTTTTAGTAAAGGGAGCCATTAGATACAAGTGGATCAATGGTCAAGATTGAGTGTAAGACTTCTAACTCTTACATCGGTGTAAGAATATTCTGCCTCTATATGGGTCAGGATCATTTTACACCAATGTAATTTACACTCTCAATCTTATCCGTTAATTTCATTTATATCTAACGGCTCAAATTTTTTAGTAAAGGGAGCCATTAGATACAAGTGGATCAATGGTCAAGATTGAGTGTAAGACTTCTAACTCTTACATCGGTGTAAGAATATCCTGCCTCTATATGGGTCAGGATCATTTTACACCAATGTAATTTACACTCTCAATCTTATCCGTTAATTTCATTTATATCTTACACCGGTGTAAGAATAATAAATCTTACACCAAATTTTAACCGTTGATTTCCGTGCATCCAATGATTGAGATTTATTGGAAATTAATAGCAAAAGTAGCAAATATTTTGTCACACAGCGTCTTGTACTACCTTCAAAGTCATGCATGATTTTAACAAAATATAGTCTCGAAAATTATGCTTTCCCAAAATGATTATTTAAGCTTTTATCCTATCATAATTTAAATACCTTAGTTCATAACGTTTTACTAATGTACAATTGACTGTAAACTTCATCAAATTTCAAACATTCACCCTTGATCCACATCTTTAAAAATCATCATGTTACGTGTGACTTATTCGAATCTAACCTGTAACCAAGCAAGCAGCTATTTACATAATTTTCTATTATAAGTAAAAAAAAATTCCTTTGAACTATATAAGAGACCAGGATGAGAGAGGGAGAACAAGAGAGATCTTGGCATTTTAGGTTGGCATTCAGACATCAAATGATCAAAATAATACAATGACACATGACCATTAAGTAACAAAAATGTGCCCAGCTACGAACACTCTCAATTTCATCGGGAAAGGCCCGTAGCATTCGTTACTTTATGGCATTCACAATCCCACATGATAATACAAATTTTCCTTCGGGACTATAAAACCATAAGAAAATTCCAGAGTCTCTCCCTTTCCTATCTTGCCTACGTATGCATTATTCCCTATAATGCCAAAAAAATTAATTTAAGCTATGAGGGCACAGGACACCTAATCAGTAGTCCATGGATCACTCTCTGATATGACTTCAGAAGGTTCAAAAACTTCTGGCTCAGTAGCTTCTTCACCTGTGTTTGAATCAGCTTCAACAGATGCATCTCCCTCCTCTTCTTCTGATCTACCCCATCTTCCTCCAAGGGCCAATGCCATCATTTCATAAATCTTATTTCCCAACTCTGCAGGGCTATCCGGCTGCATTATTGAGAAACTATGTAAGCAAACCCCCTTTCATATATACATGTGTGTGTGTGTTGCATAAAGAAAAAGATAATTTTTTCTATTGTCCTTACAGAAAATCCACTAGATATAAGTGCTGTATCATATAAGAGATCAACGGCTCTCTGAGCATCGCTGCTGTCAGGAGCATTCTTGCAGGCGGCCTGAAGGAAAAATAAAAATAATTAAAAGAAATAGGTCAAAGTCACAAGCAAATTCAGTTAAAAGTACCAGCCATGTATTATCTTGAAACTTTTGTTTTCACATTTCAAATGCCATACAGGATCTCTGGACATAATAAACAAAGGGTGAAGAAGAGGAAGGCATTGCATTAAAAGGGGGGAAAACAGCAGACAATTTATTTTACATTATATAAATATAGCAAGGCTCACTAGATGACTTCCAGAATTTTAACTTTGACATTTTATAGAACCAACATGACAACTCGGCTTAATTAGTGAAATTACTAACAGGCAAGCTACAATAATCAATAGTCTTAAATGAAGTTATATTCCACGATAAATGAAGGAACAATGACCAAAATGCCGCTGTTTGGCAAAATTTTTACCCCAATGCCACGCGGACAATACTTTTTACCAGACTGTCACGCGACGCAATTCGCTACGACTGGTAGCGAATTACATTCGCCAATTATTTTGTGACACGTGGCACATTTGAACAGAAAAAAGTTGACTGGACGAATTTCGCTACTAATGATAGTGAATTTGGTAAGCAACATGACCACGTGTCACGAAATCATAGGCGACGAAGTTCGCTACCAATAATAACGAATTATGACGCGTGGCAGTCTGGTAAAAAAGTACTGTTCGCGTGGCAGTCTGGTAAAAAGTACTGTTCGCGTGGCATTTGGATAAAAAATTTGCCAAACAGTGGCACTTTGGTCACTGTTCCATAAATGAACTTGAGAAAAGCTTTATGCTTTGTCTTAGTCTTATATGATGATTCAGTTTCTTTTTCCTTTTTCCTCTTTAACTTTGAAGAACTAAGTACAAAAAACCTTCTCAAACAATTTCACTCAATTACTTTACAACATTTTGTCTCTTCTACTTCAGTGATGTCACTTAGAAGGGAAACACCAGATTATCAAAAAGAATTACCTACTAAGTAGACTCAACCAGATCTCTTTTATAATTGAATACTTATAGTACACAAAAAGATAATACTGATTTGGACAAGATGCTCACAACCTTGCTAAAATAAGTGTTTCATGTATCTACAGGAAGTAAAATATGTTATCTAATATTTTCCATTGTCCTACAATTTTTGTCCTCGGTTTATTTTTCAGCCAGTCCAGCACAAAGTTTGCATCTTGTCATCTTTTTTGTGGTTCTCTATTCAGAGTCAAATTACCCTTTCCTACCGTATCATTGGCTAGGCAGAAAGTGTATGTTTTTTATGCCAACAATCAGAAAACTTACTCAAAATTGTTGAGATATATAGTCCCACATTGGTTGTATGAACAACCAATGTGGAGTTTATAAGACTTTGGACACTCTCACCCCTTGAGCTAGCTTTTGGGGTGGTGTATCCCAAGGTTCTTCACATGGTATCAGAGCCTCACCGTCCCCCACTTTAAAGTGGAATTAAAAACAAAAAAGCACAAAAGGTAAAACAAAAATTGGGCCTGTGCATAATCCACGCTTCAAGCCCAAAGGGCTCTTGTGTGAGGGGGCGTGTTGAGATATATAGTCCCACATTGGTTGTATGAACGACTAATGTGGAGTTTATAAGGCTTTGGACACTCCCACCCCTTGAGCTAGCTTTTGGGGTGGTGTATCCCAAGGTTCTTTACACAAATTGATAATGACCATTTATAAATCAATAAATTCCAAACTAAAAGTTTCAACTTACATTTAAGTCGTTGATAATGGGATGATCTGGATTAATCTCCAATATTCTCCTCCCTCTCATAAACTCCAAACTTGCAGTGTCTCCAAGAGCTTGAGCCTTCATTAATCTGAAGAAAAGGGATCGAAGATTATATAAGCCTTATGTAAAAAGGATGATAAACTGCTTGAGATCCAGGAGCATGGCTTGTAAAGCCAATGACTTACCTCTCCATATTTGCAGACCACCCAAACTTTCCCGATACAAGCACACAGGGAGATGAGCTCAAGCGGTTAGAGATTTGAACTTTTGCCACCTTATCACCAAGTTGCTGTTTTATCCAATCACAAAGTAGGTTGTACTCTTGCTTGTTTTCCCTCTCTTTGACCTCATCCTCATCGCCTGGTTTGAGAAAAGATTATGAGGACCACATTCAAATCCCAATTTTCACAAAACAAAAATGTAATAAGCATATAAAAGCAAGGTAGAAAACAGTACAAACCCAATTCCAAATCTTCCTTGCTGATATCAACAAATTTCTTTTCTTTGTATGTCTGTAGGTTTTGAATGGCAACCTCATCAATAGGTTCGACCAAATAAAGTACCTACAATAATAGACACACATAAGTAAACAGAAACTTAAAAAGAAAGAAAAACAGAATTCAAAATTAACAAGTGGTATATCAAGCATTCAATTAGAAATATATATCAATCATATTTAACTGGAACACACACACCCACCCACCCCTAAAGAGCCTCACCCACCAGAGAAAAAAGATGGGTGGGGAGGGGGGAACTCCAGAGGGAGGGTATATTCTAGCTTAGATCCACCAACTAGACATACCTCAATATCTTTTTGAACCAATTTCTCCAAAAATGGAGCAGTCTTTGCACTTTTCAAGCTGTCAGTTGCTAGGTAATAGATAGCTTTCTGGTTTTCACCCATGTTTTCGACATAATCATCCAAGCTTTTAAGTTCCTCCTCACTTTTGGAAGTGTAAAACCTCAATAGTGGTGTTATGCGCTTATGATTTCCACTATCTTCAACGCATCCTAACTTCATGAACCTACCAAAGTTTTCCCAAAATTTCTTGTAGTCCTGGAATCACAGGAAAACAAACATCTTCTCAATCTATTACGAATCTCGATTCATATTGAAAAAATAGAGAAACTATGTTTATTGCTACCACCTCTTTATTTTCTCTTTCAGAAATGTCTTGAATCATATCAAATGCCTTCCTGACAAGCCTCTTTCTCATTATTCTTACCTGAAATTATAATATTGTTAGAATCAAACATTTTGGAAAGTAACAGAAAAAGGAAAATGCACAAATAATTCCTAACAAAGAACATATCGTTCATTCACGTTCATCACATATTCACATGGAAAAGGTTTCCCATGTAAGCAGGAAAATATAGAGTTTTCTTACAATTCTGCTTTCTTGAAGAATCTCCCTAGAAACATTGAGAGGAAGGTCATTTGAATCAACCACACCCTTCACAAAGCTCAAGTAACGTGGAAACTGCAAAAAAGTAACGAAAAATAAATACATTAAATAATTAAATTACAGCAAAGGACGCCTGCACAAGGATCAGAAGAAGCATTATGATACAGACCAACCAGCAATTACACTAAACTAAATGGAAATAGGAACTGAAATACAAATCTATATGTATATAACTTGGTCTGAACCCGTATTACAGCAGTATCAATCTCAGGATTAATAACAGAGACAAATGCAATGGCAGATTACAGAGTTGTGCAGCTCAAACTACTCATTACATACCCAACAGAAATACAATACTGGAAAGGAAATACAATGCATAAAGTAAGAGATAGTGTGAAGCAATTGGAGAGGCTCCACTCTCTCCCAATCCCCAAGGGGCCCAAGTAATTCCACTAAGATTCTAGATACCTCCTACAAGCACCCCTTCCTCTATATTTAAACCAATTCCTTCGTAACTAACTTGCTCTCCCATGCTTCCATTCTGTTTTGCTGAGTCAGCTATATTGCTTTCCCTAAATTTCCCTTGGGGGTGGTATCGTATCACATTACAAGCTCTAACTTCTGTTTTATTTGTGCTTGTCAGCGCTTCTTTCCATCCACCAAAAAAGAAGATCAAGAAGCATTGAAGAGCACAAATATGAGATACATTATATACAGATGGCACATAATGACTTATGATATAATATAATACATGCCTAAAACTGGCCATATTTTTAGATACACCATCATTCTATAAAAACTACCCATTTGTAAGCAAGCTAAATTGCTGTGCAATGCTTATCCAATTCATCTCCCTATCCATCACAAGTTATAACATGGAGTAGAGACTTCACATTATCCTTCTTTCATAATAAAGTTTTAAAAAGAAGAATTGTAGCGACATAAATTTCATATTATACAAGATAAAATTACACTTAGAAGCTCACAACAAACTCACCAGCTCACCATCAAAATCATCTGAGATGAACACACGCTTAACATACAGACGTATGTTCTTTGTTTTAGGGTTCACTACTTCTTCATTGTTGAGAGGCCCCATTCCTGGAACATATAGAATACTTCTGAACTCAACCTCACCCTGCACAGTTTATAGCCTAATTAAATTGATAACTGCAAAAAAGGAAATTCTCTCCTGCCAAAAGCCAAAATCATCAACATACCTCAGTGGTGAAGTGAGTATATGCAAGTGGTTCTAAGAATTCATTAAAAGCCTTCTTGTAAAATTCATTGTACTCGTCCTTTTGAACTTCCTTTGAATTCCGCATCTACAAAAAGTGGCAAAGGTGGCCCAATAAGAGAGGCACCACAACTAAATAAAAAGCAAAATGCGTGGCACTAGCATCCTAACACCATAAAAGCAGATATAGCTCATACTCACCCATATTGGCTTGGTTTCATTGGCTAATTCCCAGTCCCAATACTTCTCAGTTTTAGTCTTTTTTGTCTTCTTCTTCTCACCCTGATAAAAAGGGAAGAAAAAGACTTGGTATCGGCAACACATTTGGAAAAAGCAAGTACAATATCCACATTAAGAAATACCACACTAGTTACCTCTGCTTTTGGTTCTTCGCCTTCTTTAGGTTCTTCTTCCTCTTCCACCTGTCAATATTCAAATAAATTAATATTGACAAATAAAGATGACATTTGCTATTATTACTTCATGAAACAAGTTTACATAAGCTGCAGTATAATTATGAAAATCAGGAATGAGGATAAAAAGTGTATTAAAATAGATAAAAAGAAGTCACCTTGAAAGTAAAATTCTGCTGTTTGAATACATACTATCTCAGAAATTGCTTTTGACACTTTCTCTCGTTATATAATGTTATCATATGAAGCACCAACACTTCAAAAATCCTGATGTGTCGTGTCCGACACTTCCCGACACTCACCGATACTCCGACACTTCCCGACACTTCAATACTCGTTGCAAAGATTCAAAAAAGTTTCAAAGGTTATGTTGAATTGCATTTTGAGTTCCAACTATTAGATTCGTTCAATTACGATTTTATTGAGTTTAATATAAATATTTGGGATATATTATGTTTCTTTGCAAAATTGATGGGTATTACAAGTTTAGCTTTATTTTTTTGTTAAATTATTGAATACTAAATATAATATATACTACATAAATTAAAAATATTATATAATATCAAAATGTGTCCTAACGTGTCGAAATTTAATATTTTTTAAAATTAACGTGTCGAAGTGTCGGGTCGTGTCTCGTGTCCCGTGTCGGTGCAACATACTGTTATCTATGAAACAGTTTCTATTCAATTAAAGGAAATATGAAAAGGCAAAAGGTTGCTCCCTTTCTAGATGGAAACAAAATTCTAAAAGAACACACTTCTTCCACTATCACTTAACACCTGACTATGACCATCTCCTATTTGCTATTAAACCCCTCAACAGAACCACCATTAATCAAGCATGGCCTCCAACTTCCAAGCAAATATGATCCAGTACTTTATAAATATATTAGAATCAAATGAATTGGATCTTATTGCTACATGGGTAACTCTCATCTCATTCCTTCTAACAGAAAAAACACATGTTTTATATGAAACATGAGCATTTCACGGACAATGAAAAGAGCAAAAGAGGAAAACCACAGACCACAAATCATTATCTGTAATAAATCATATGTGAAAAATAGAAAACTACCACCTGCACATATGCAAGAATTTGGAGAATAATTCTCCCAACCAACATGATGACAAGAATCTGTAACAAGAGAAATCATGCTTACCTCAACAGTTCTTGATTTTTCTTGCCATGTAAAAATGGGGAAGGAAACAAACTGGGAGTAATTTTTCACCAAACTCTGAATCTTCGTTGGCTCTGAGAATTCATACTTGTCATCAGGCTGGAAAAAAAGAAGAAGAATTTGAGTGCTTTAACTACATGTCCGCATTAAAATGATCTTACAATATCCAAATATTATACTGGGTTCACCCTATAATTAAAAGATATTAAAAAATAAATAACTAAAGAAGAATTTCGGCTGAAATTTAACATTTGCTAACATCTTCCTGCAAAAATAATATCTCCCTTTTACACCAGTTTAGTTCAGATACTAACGTAGCCACAAAGTAATTGAGCACCATATCTAAGTATCTAACACTGGAATGCAAGATGATAGTAATTCTTACATCCCACACAAACTTTCCATCAGAGAGATGAAAGAAATACACTCACTCTTAAATAGAGGGTAATCTGTGTACCACGACGCAGAAGCTTTTCAGGATCAGTTTCTTCCTTTATCATAAAAGAGCTACTGTCAGCCAATGCTTCCCACACATATTGCTTATCTGATCTCGGGCTCTTTGTAGAAACAACAACCTGATTGTTATTAACATGCAGAAACAGCCAATTAATGACAAAATAATTAAAATCAGGATAACCAACCAAGAGAATACACTAAAGAAATCCACAACATACCCTCTCAGCAACAAGAAAAGCAGAGTAGAATCCAACACCAAATTGACCAATCAAACCATTATCTGCTCCTAGATCCTTGTTTTCCTGAAAGATGGGGGCAAAAATTTAAACATGATTGAAGCTTTGAATCATCAAAGTATCAAACAGAGTGATATTTCTGATCAATAATAAATTACCTTAAGTGCCTTCAAAAATTTTGAAGTACCACTCTGGGCAATAGTTCCAAGACAGTCAATGAGCTCTTCTTTGGTCATTCCAATACCAGTATCTCTACAAAGTTAGGAGTTAACAGTTCAATAATCCTATTTATACATACCCAGAAAAACAAATTAAAATAAAAAGCCATATCAATGAATATACATACGTTATAGTAACAGTTCCATTGTCTGGATCAGGTTTGATGCGTATCTCTAGTTCTCCAGCATCTCCAAGCAAAGAAGGCTCAGTCACACTTAAGAATCTCAACTTGTCCAAAGCATCACTAGCATTACTGGGGGAAAAACCAGACAAAATAAAACAGAATCAAGCATCTGCACACATGTACCTAGAGAGAAACATAGATGCAAAAGTCCAAGAGCGAAGAAAAAGGTAAAACAAGCAAGCACAGCTAGGGAATACTAAAGCAACTTAACAATATTAAATCATTCAATCAATCATAACATTATCCAGATCAATTTGAGTCTAGAATGGACATGTTGTAAACTGTAATTACCTCACAAGTTCTCGAAGGAAAACTTCCTTGTGGCTATAAAGACTGTGAACAATCAAATCCAGTAATCGACTCACCTGCAAAAAAGGAATTCATTTTCAGACACCCTTAATGAAGTTAAGTCTTTCACTTCACTGTAAGACATTCCAAACGAGGTGCAAAAAAGATTGAAACTTTTACACAATAACGACCAATAAACCGCGACCCAAAAGTGCAAAAAGGTCAATCATTTGATAGATTGATTCAAAACCCACCTCGGCTTGGTACTCAAACTTTTCACCAGTGGCTTCACCCTCTTCTTTCTCTGCAACCGCCGCTTCGCACCGCACAGCGAGCCTGCTTCTTCTCTCGTGCTGCTTCCACTTCAACCCGGCGGTGGCAGAAGAGAAGCACTTTATGAGACCATGTTGCGGTGGCAGAAAAGCGCTTCTTAGGGTGGAAGCCCTTTGGGGTTTTGTCAGTGTGAATGGGGCAACAGAGGCAGTGGCCATGCTTCTACTCAGTACAGGAGCCATTTTCAGACCTAGAAAGAGAGAGTGTTTGTGTGTGCACGCGCGTTATCTCTTCAGGTTCTGTCTGTGATATAAAAGCGAGTGCAAATGGGAAATAAGAAACCCTCCGAACCGAACAAGGGTTTATGGAGATATAACCGATGGTTCTAGAAATTCCGCAATATATTTGGCTGCATTTGTAAGGCCTAGATTTTGCCAATTCAGCAACACAACACATTAAGTAATTAAACATTTTTTTTTAAATTACTAGATAATATTTTGGTCCTACAATTTTATCCAATTACCTCTTGTTACAGTATTTGGTTTAATTATGGTTCGACCACAAATTAATATATAGTTAAACAAATGGAATCATGACTTGGTTTTGTTAAATTCGTCTCTATTTTAGTTTTTAAAAATATTGCTTAGAGTTATACCATATGGTTAATTATTCATACATCAATATTTATATATTGAAAAATTAGTTCCTTGGAGTTATTAACTATTTTATAAAAATGACGGGCATACAAGTATTGCTGTGCTCGAAGTTATCCCATGCTCCAAGTCTTCCGTTGTCCCAGGTTAAGTTAGGAGGAAGTTGTGGATATTTACAAAGGACACTGTTTACTTAAGTTAGTCTTAGAGATGAGAGAGATAGAGTGGAGAAGAGAATGTGCGATTCATCTAAGCTTCGTGAAGTAGCTTCCTTGCAAACATGTTCATCTTTGAGAAAGACTCATGCGACATTAGCCTTGTGTTGAATCTTTGTCTTATCGTCCATGATTTTCCTCAATGGATTTTCAGCCTAAACACCCCAATGCAAAACATGTGCTTTGAACTAGCTAAGAGGACCGGTATAAAAATGAACTTTTGTGTCTTTTTTCTTTCTTTTTTTAAGACAAGTTGGCTATCCTGGTATCTATACAATCATAAGTTTTGACTCTTTGATTCAGCTATGGGACTAATTTGGAATACGGGACGACCCAATAATAAAGATATTTAAATCTCTCTCAAAAGTGACATGTGAAAATCAAACTGAGCTATTGATAAACTTTAGTGTCCTTGAATTCAGGCAAATATAGCTTTAGTTTCCATATCACCTTACTCGTGGACTTGACCAACTTTACCACCAAAACAAAATCGAAAGTTGTTTTATCCTAGGAATATAGATCTCTAATAAGAGATTAGTGAATTGATATTGGATCTAAGGACTTTCTCCGGTAGGGATATGCAAAATAACCAAAAAATTGAATCGAACCGAATCGCCCTTAAAATAACTAGTTTTTAAAACCAGTTCATGAACCGAACCAGTTTTTAAAGAATCAGTTCATGAATCGAACCGGTTTTTAGAACCAGTTTAAGAACCGAACCATTTTAAACCGAACCGAACCGTTTTTAAACTGAATCAAATTGATTTTTATAATTTTAATTTTTAATTTTTTTCTTTTCAAAAGAGGGTCGACCCGAACCGAACCGAACCATTTAAATCAATTCGGTTTGATTTTTCAAAAAATCTGGTTCAGTTCGACCCATACACATCCCTACTCTCGGGTATCTATGGAGAAGATACATTTGAGGTGAGCAGATTACTATGCATAAGAGAATAACAATGTAGCTAAAGTAGTGGTGTATATGCACAGTGACAACAAATATTAAGAATGTGTGTGCATCTATAGGCTTTATATTTCATTTATAAAGTTTATTTATGGGTACTGAAATTTTGAATCTTTAGAAACTTATTTTTACTTTCATATATAGATAATTTTTGTCACAAATAAAATATTTTCTTCTTTATTCATTTTAGGAGAGTACTAAGATAAAAAAATTTAATATCACAAAAATTTAATATTATAAATAAAATACTAGTTGATAGTATAAAAAAATGACTCAATGCGCTAACTCATCCCCAGCGGGTTGAATCTATTTTAACCCACTCTTATGCGGATGAATTGGATAGATTGACGAATTAGAAAATTCAAGCCCACTAGCCATTTGTGGTAAGCAGGGTTAGATCTGTTTTGTCATCTTTATTTTTATGTATATTTATCTGCTCGTAAACTTTTATAGAAGTATTTGTTTCGAACTTTATCAGGTTATCTGCTTGAAATGAAAATCAACCCAAAAGTGGAATATATATAGAGAGAGAGTGTGAGAAAGAGAGAGAGGCAGAATGTAATAACTAAATAAAAAATAATAAAAAAATTATAATAATCAAAGTAATAACGTATAAAAAATAATAATAATAATAAAAATAAAAATAATATTGATAATAATAATGAATAAATAAATTATTATTATTAATATTAATATGTTTGCTGTAATTATTATTAGTAATAAATAAATATATATTAAATTATTTATTTATTTTTTTTTAAATTCTTATAATAACCACAGTAAATTATTTTTAGTTAAATATATTACTACACCCTCCTAAATCATTATTAATAAATAATAATGATACTATAGTTATTATTTATTAAGAATTAAATGAATATTATTTATTATTTTAAATTAATATATAAGATAATATTATATATATATATATATGGCAAGGAGGGGCCCACGTGGAACACCCCCTCCAAGCCACAATTACATGTTACTAGAATGTGATGATGTAAATTATATGAGGTAAGTAAAATGATGCATGATAAAAATAATAATAAAGAAATAGAAATGAATCAGCATTCAAACGTGTGACTATATATATGTATATAGATATGTGGTGTCCCTTTCACGTTGTTAAAAGAGAAGGATTGAGAAGAGGCTGTTAGAAAAATGAGGAAAGTTTGAGAAATTTTTACAGAGAGCAATAAAGAAGAAGAAGACGAGGATAGAATAGTGAAAGGTAATATTGAGAGAGTAAAACTTTCTCTCTATTTTCTTCCTTTCAGTTATGTTCTTTTTATTTATTTGTAGAAAACTGTAACGTTATTTTGTCAAAATATTTTTTTTAATTTCTTCTCTTATTTAATATTATTTGCATCTATAGTCCTACCTTAATCTGTCTTTTAATTTTATTCTACCTCTCATGTTATTGTGATTTTTATCAAATTTTAAATTTTCCTTAGCAGTAAGATACAATAAATTATTTGGTACCAAATAAATATTAAGAAGATGTGTAAATTTTAACTGTATGTTACTGTAGTGAACTGACCCTCAAAAGTTTGGGATCATATAGTTAGGGTAAAGGACGCCTTATCATGGCTTGAGCTTCGCCATATCATTACTTTTAACAAGTAGGAGACCCACAAAATTGGGAATTAAATTGGCTTCAGTAAACTTCTATTCCATGCAGGCATTGTGGAATCCTACACCTATAGGCTAGACTAGAATGAGAAGTATGTATTAAATAAACCTTGTAACTTGATGTAGTTAGGAATGTAATATATATATGTGCAACTAATGTAAAATATTTAGAGTGTAAAATATTTGTACTGACTTCCATCCATGTATATAAAATGAAGGATGTTAGTATTTCTAGTTAATCTTTCTAGATTTATTTTCTCATATATTTTTATTTACTATTATTATTATTAAATATATTTAAATATTTAGAAGGTGTTACATTTTATGGTATCAGAGCAGAGGTTCGGGAAATAAAAGACCTAGGGGGTGTTTGGTTCAGAAGAAAAAAAAATTTACTAGGGAAATAGAATTAGTAGGAATATAGTGGGAAAGTGATTTTAGTATGAAAATGTAAAAAAAGTTGTTTGGTTCGCCAAAAGTTTATCGGGAAAATTGGGTTAAATTTTTTGAGTGTATGTTTGGTTGAAGATAGAATATTGATGGGAAAATTGTTTGAAAATACTAAAATACCCTTTTTTACTGTTTTTAAAAGTGAGTTGCCATTTTTTTACTGTTTTTTTACTAAAATACCAGTCATGTGCTGGTGCTGATACTTAAAAATTGCAGAGAACGTTCTATTGCTTCAACAGAGTTGACTGGACGAATGAGACTCTCTATCCCATCAACACATTTCTGCTTGTCGAGTTTACTCTTGCACTTGAACTCCAGAAGACCTTGTTCAGTTTTGAGGCCAAAGTAGAACTCTTCTGATTCTTCCTGTTCTTTTCTATATGGCCATGCAACATCTTTATCACAGACTCCATAAACCACACCTAGCACAACATGTGTTATAATCAAAGTTAGAGAATACCAAAACTCCAAAGTTCAAAATGGCCGATGATTCCTGTTCTTTTCTTTATGGCCATACATACACAAACTGGACTCAAAATTTCAACCAAAACGGAGTATAAAAAGTCATACCTCACCTCCCATCATATGCATCTGCCTTTCTTCACTCATCAAACTTCGTTTCAGAACTTTGCTAGAAAGGAAACTTTGGTGACGTGAGAGGGGTAATTGTGTCACTGTTTTGTATCACTTTAATAACTTCTCCGATTTTCAGATGAATACCACATTCCCAATTGCTTTCTTCAACAATGATTTTCTTGCTTTTTAACATGCAAACTGATTTTCCTAGGGAACTGCCATTGATGGGTAAAATACATCAGAACCGTGAACCAAACGTGGACAACCGAGTATCACAGAATCACTTTGATGGGAAACAATGGCAAACTCCTGAACCAAACACCACTCTAAACTATCATAGTTACTTGGTATTTTGTCATAGACCATGTAAATGTTGAGTTATTTTAATGAGCCTGATCAACTCACTATCATAAAACAATATATGTAGATCTATGGCAGATATAAGACAGATATTTTTAACTTCTGAACCAGAAGTTAACCCAATAACAGATGCATTTACCCAAATAGCAGAAGCTCTTAGAGAACAGACTGTAACTAACCAGCAAATTATTCAAGAGCTGAGGGAGGATCGTGCAACCAGAAATCACACCCATAATTCTGAAAGTGAGAGTGAACCTAGGACTGCAAATACTTAGGGAGGACTTAATTCTGATTATAAAGGACTCACTGAATTTCGTAAACATAAACCTTCCACTTTTTCGTGGAGATTATAACCCTGAGGCAGCCATGGAATGGGTAAAAGAACTTGAAAAAATATTCCTGATAATGGATTGTCCTAATACTCATCGTGTAAACTTTGTCATATACTTGTTGATTGGAGAAA